ACCCGAAATACTAGCTCAATTTTGGTGCGTGCGTAGTCTACCTGTCCCCTGGTAGTTTTGACCGGTCGCCGTGAAGAGTTGCCAGCCTTGTAAATGCTAGCTCGACGCTCGTTCGAGGCGGCTTGCCCATCCTGGAGTCCCAGGCCATGGAGGTCTGCTTCTTTGTGTTATTAACCGGTACGAAGTACAAAGAGTGATGTGGTATACCAGGCACCGCAGGCCTGAGTGCTTGCATCTGGCTGTCCGTGGCGTTTTGCTCAAAGCCTGGATCCTCGCTTGAGCGGTAGCTTTATCAACACCCAAATCCCCGAAGCCTCACAGACCGTCAGGCCGAACTGATTAAAGATCGTCCTGCACAAATATGGCGGTATAGCGACGCTAGAAGGCCAGCCTCGGAGCTACAACCAACATGAATGTGGGTAGTGCTCTAAATTAGGGACCCTTTCTGGGTCCCCAACATAGTACGGGACCCTTACAAAAGGACCCTAAAGGGGACTACCCATGTGAGGTTTATTCCTTAGGTCCCGGCCAGTCCGAGCGTGAGTGCCGAAACGCTGAACGCTTCGCCGTGGGGCGAATGGCCGCTAAGGCCACGGTGTGCAACTGAAGCCAGGCTTGTCACCGTTTTTATCTACACAAAGATGTATACATACATACATGTATCATAAAACAATGGTATAGCATCATGTAGTGCATTTAAATTCATATAACATAGCATAAGTATACCATAGCAGAGTATGTAAAGCACAACCCAAACATGTAATACTATACTAATTTGTGTGCGGTATAGCAAAGAGAACGTAATATGCCTTAATATATCATGATAGAAGCAAATATAATATAATATGATGCATGGTGTGTAAAAGTGATATCATAGTACATTGCACCATACCATGTATCAACATATAACATGTTTTAGCTTTAGTATATTATATGGTAATGTGCTATACTAATACGAATATATCCTCATGGTTTTCGTGATGTAGCATGTTTTTTTTGCTGCGTTGTATCAAATTACCTTATATGATGCTATACGATTTTATGCTACATTATACTTCATTTTAGTGTGTTATGGTAAGTTACATTATGTCATGTTGTATTATATTACAGCTAGGATCTTGTACAGACCAACCTATATCATTTTCAGTTCATATTTGACTACATTCCAGTGTATTACACTTTCAATTTATTCTGCCTGTTTTTTTCTGGAGTTTATTTATACTGTACTCTATTTAATTGTCTTAAATTTTGTGATATTACACTACACTATAATACATCATACTTCATTTTTATTGCGCTATCTTCACGTTCTGTATGATATTATGTTATCTTGTACTGTATTTAGTTTTATCGTAGATAATATTATGTCATGTTACTGTATGTTACAATACATTCTATCATATCCGTTTATAGGGGCTTACTGTGCTAAGGCTGTTTAGGGTCCAGGGTTTAGACCACTACTCTGACTCTGTCGATGCATCTCTCTGATGGCTTTGGCCCATGAATAGTCAGTCCTTTTGCATCCTATATTTGTTGCATCTGCGTATGCGTTTGACATGTGGTCCTTATTTTTTGGTGGCATCTCTCAACTTGCGAGCTGCTGTCCTAGATGCGTTTTGGTTCGAAAGGTTCACCAAGTTATCAGCTGTTTCGCCATCCGACCCGACTCTGCCCGAGCCCACTGGGTAGCGGATGGCGACGGCTGCAGACTTCTATGCCTTTCGCCATGATTCGGAGAGGTCAGGCGGTACACGGGGTCCGATTGGAAACTCTAAGGTCGGGACAGAGATCTTCTTTGGGAAGGAGTCGCTTCCGATGAATGTTCAGCTGGCCCTGGCGGCTCCTCGCAGCACAAGCAGTGGCTTTGACTCTTTAGGCTAAGTTTAGGTTTTGGGATATGCAAAGTCCAGAAGAGCCTCGCTGGCAGCCCTCGTGTCCCACAGTTTCCTTATCTCGCCCCGAGGGCCTCGAACTAGCAAGCCATCCCCTTAACAGTTGCATGTCACCCCTCGAGCTTCCAAGCTCATCTCTCCGAGGTTTTGCAGATTCCGATATTTTACTATGTTCTGGTCGCGACCGACAGCTTGGAGTTCTTCCGAAAGTTAGCAACTTGCCAGTGCATTCCGCTTTGAGTTTGTGGCATGCTGTAGTAGTGTGGTCATGCTCGTGGCAGTGGTGGTGGCGGTGATGGTGATAGCGGTAGTGGAGGTTGTAGTAGTAGCAGCAGTAGTAGTAGTAGTAGTGGTAGTGGTAGTGGTAGTGGTAGTGGTAGTGGTAGTGGTAGTAGTAGTATTAGTGGTAGTGGTAGTGGTAGTGGTAGTGGCAGTGGCAGTGGCAGTGGCAGTGGCAGTGGCAGTGGCAGTGGCAGTGGCAGTGGCAGTGGCAGTCGTAGTAGTAGTAGTAGTAGTAGTAGTCGTAGTAGTGGTGGCAGCAACAGTCGCAGCAGCGGATTCGACAAGGAGGCCCGCGTACTGACAGTGCTTTTCCTACTTGGAGGTTCATTGGTAGTTATAAGTGGGGTTTATAAGCAGGCAACTATAATTATGAACCAGATTAGGAGACTAATAGCCTTACTTACTACCCATGAACCTCCTGGTAGTGATTCACAGCAAAAGTCCAATCAGTGCAGAACCCCGAATTTTCGTCTGCAACCGCCAACGGGTGGTACCCGCTTGTCGTGGAGTTTGCAAGGTTTGGCAGTAGAAGGGCTAATACAGGGGCCTTAATTATTAGAATAGGGTTTGGGGGGGCAATATATTACTATAATTATAACAAGGAGCCCCCAAAACCCCATTCTAATTATTAAGGCCCCCCTGTCCCAAGTCCTCATCTCTGTGATATAGCCGGCAAGTTCCTAGCCCTACTGCCACTCATAGTGACATAGTGTTGTTATGATGTAACCATAATGAAATGCGACAGAACTGAATCTTCATAGCTTGGGGAGTTTGTGACAACAATCCAGACAAGAGTAGCCTCAAGCCCAAATCCATGGGCCCCCTCCGACCTGCAACCCAGGGCCCTCCAACGCACCCGGGACGATGCAAGGAAACACCACAGCCCCGGATGCTCCCGGTAGAGGTGCTCGTCGCTCTTCTGCTCCTGCAAAGACTTCTTGGTGTTGCCACAAACCTTAACCCCTAAACCCTAAACCCGAAACCCTAAACCCCAAACCCCAAACACTAAACCCCATTCGTTAATCCCCAACCCCTAAACCCTAAACCCTAAACCCCAAACCCCAAACACTAAACCCTATTCGTTAATGCCCAACCCCTATTCCCTAAACCCCAAACCCTAAACCCTGAACCCTAGCTCCTAGACCCTCAAGGTGAGGGTATTCTCATCAAACTACTCAATTGGGCGAAAAGTCCTGGCACACTTGGACATCGTCAGTTTGATCATAAGACACCCAAACCCTAAGACCCAAACCCTAAGACCCCAAACCCTAAAACCCTAAACGCTAAGACCAAAAACCCTAAGACCTGACTCCCCTCAAACCCTAAACCCTACACTATCATGATCCTGTTGAGTTCAGGTTTGCAGGGGCCTCCAGGCTCCACAGTGTCATAGAGATTCGCGAGTCCAGGCCATAACCGAATAAGGGCTAAACTCGTAGGGTTTAGGGGTTAGGGTTTAGAGTTTAGGGTTTAGGGTTTAGAGTTTAGGGCTTAGGGTTTCGGGCTTAGGGCTGTGCCTTTAAACTCTACCACCCCAAACCTAATCCTTGCACCCTGGCACAGTGCTGGCTCGAAGGCTTTCCCGTCGTCAAACGCGGGTTGGGTTCAGGGTTTAAGGTTCGAGGTTTAGGGATTTATTTAAATGAATAGGATTTGGGGTTTAGGTTTAGGTCTTAAGGTTTGAGGTTTAGGGGCTTTAAAAAAATAGGGCTTAGGGTTTAGGACTCCGGTTCAGGGTTTAAGTAAGGTTTAGGCCAGGCTCCAGGAGGTAAGGCTTTGATCTTTTGTGGCTTGCGACCCGAGATCCTCATAGAAGAAAGACCTGGCAAACACGCAAAACTAAAACCTTCCTATGTCAGAATATGGGTAGTTCTGGTTATAAGGGTGCCGTACTATACTGGGGACCTAAAACATACAAAAGGGGCCCTAATTTAGAGAACTACCCATACCGGTGTGGGGGTCTATAAGTTCTGAATCTTTTGCAAGGTACCACGTCTAAACCGGAGTTGAAGGAGGACTCAGAATGGGGTCTTAGAAAAGAAAAGACTTTGATACGGATCCTGCACAGTATATCGAGGCTATACATCATCTACACCACTAGCTCTCAGAAACTACCATGCCCCCAAACCCTGAACCTCAAACCCCAAACTCATAGCACAAGAACCCCCCTTCTTCGAAAATATCGGTCTGTCCTCGGGTCCCTCCGCCGCCGCGGTCATGGCCGAAGTCAGCTGAGTTCATTAGGGGGGGCCCTCGGCCCCCATCAGGTATATGGTGCTGGCCTCTGTCATCAGTGCTATGCGGTAATATCGGTGAGGGTTTTATGTTGGGCCCTGACATGTGGTGAGATCTTCGGGAGCCCGAACATCCAGCGGATCGTAAACAAGCTTTGGCACTCAACCTGAACACTAATAAACCCTAAACCCTAAACCCTGAACCCTAAACCCCTAAACCCCTAAACCCTAAGTTTTAAACCATAGAGCCCTCAACCCTAGACTCAAACAGCCTGAATCGTAGTGGAGCCAACGATCTTCCATGTCTCGAGCCGCAGATGGCTAACACTCCGGGATCCACCAGGGGCTGCCACCTGCTTTGACTGCACGTCTTGATTCCATTGCTTGCTATAGTATGCTGTAGTCAACTATAGTACCTATAGTCCCTAAACCCTAAACCCTAAACCCTAAAAAGTACTACAGTGGAGCCTTGGGCAGATATGCATGTCAGTGGGAGATGGAGACCAGTCTTGCAATGGTCGCCAAGTGACTGCACAAGGAATCCTGGTGCGTGACTGCGCTACGTGCCTTTTGCAACTGGGCCGGCGACGAGCTATACATGATCACAGACGAGTCTGAAAGCCTCTACGAGGGAAAGCAGAATCATTGACATCGACACACCGGCAGAGCCTCTACTGGAAAGGCCAGAACTTATGCAGGAGATGGAGACAGTTCTCAGACCGCCACCGTAGCACTGGTAACCTGGATCATCGCATGAAGCGCAAGCCGAGGGAAACGTCTCATTGGCCAGCACTTCACCAGTGCAGTGCGCTCCCTCGTACTGCTCAAACGTGACATTGCCGCCAACCTCGTTGCAAAAGGCCTTCACCCAGTGAGTGCCCATGAAATTGTTTGGAGGTACACATTCAAAGTTGGAGGTGAAGCTGTGACCAGTGACTCGGCCAGAGCACGACGGCGCTGCATACTGCTTTCGCCGCGGGAGCACGGTCGCTGCAGCAGCTGGCAAACTCGCGCAGGCAAGCAGTGTGCAAAGTGCTGATATGAGAAACATCGGTGTGTCAGCGCATGGCGCTCCACGGATTAAGCATCACCATGGCTTCGGCCAGGATACAGTGTAGCCCTAGGCAGTAGCATGCATCTGTGGTACTGAAGTTAAGCATGAAGACGATGAGAAATGTCACAACCCTCCACGCCGAGACCCAGTAAATTCCTGCACCCTAAACGCTAAATCCGTCATTCTCTAAAACCCTAGCTTACTGCATCCTTACTGTAGTTACTAACCTCTACATCCCGTGCCAGCTTTCGATGAATCTTTCGCTCCACCCTTGAAGAGCACTCGATGTAAGCTGAGGGTGTAAGGGATTCGAGCTTAGGGTTTAGGGTTTCAGGGTTTCAGGGTTTCAGGGTTTAGGGCTTCAGGGTTTCAGGGTTTCAGGGTTTAGGATTTAGGGTTTAGGGTATCAGGGTTGAGGGTTCGCTGCGGGTCGCGGGGGTCAGGGGTAAAAGCTTGAACGGTTTATGCCCGTAGGTTTGGGGAGTTTGGGGCTTGAGGCTTGCAACAGGGCTTCAGGTTTAAAGGGCTGTGCTACTGTTGATGATGATATATATATATATATATCCTGCACTACCTTAAGGACCCTAAACTATGGGAATTATGGTATGCCGCAGTATTCCTCAATTATGGGTCATGCAGGATTTCTATCATCAACCGTAGGAAGAAGGTTTAGGGTTTCCCAGACAACCCAATAGCCCTTAACTAAGGAATATACCTTAAATCATAGTAATAAGGCCCTTATAATTGAAGGTATATTCCTGAATTAAGGCGTATGGCGTTCTCTGGTTTAGGGTTTAGGGCCAAGCTCTCTTCTGCCACACAGCAGGGTAACGGATACGGCTGGGGGTGTAGAAACCCCAGAACTACAGACAGCGGATCGATGCCACACGCATGTACCCCACCATGAACAGAGTCTAGACCAGCAAGCGAAAACAAAAAGCCTGTACTCCTGTTATTAAAACCCCCCATATTATAGAAGGGGCTGAAGGCGTAAGGTTTAGGAAAGCTGTGGCTGGAGGGTCTAACTGTCATCTTTGCCTCGAGGTTTTCTTGGGAATCCTCCTGCCTTCATAGGTACCTAACCCTCAACTCCAACATTCCCTAAACCCTAAGCCTGCAAACTTAAGCCCTAAACCCTCAACCCTGAACCCCCAAAGCATCTTCCCAGTCTTTCTTCAGAGCTCGCGAAAACATGCGATGGCTGTCGGCATTACCATCAACGACCTCCCCGAGTTTAGGGCTTAAGCGGCTTGATTGAAACAGGGTTCTTTCGACTGCCCCATTCGGGTTACTATGTGGGTTCTGTGATATCCGGAACTTTTTAAGTAGTATTGGGTTTTGAAGTGCGGTGTGCATCACAGTAAGCCTGAAGGATCAACATGGACCAGTATCTTCTATACTAACCCAAAGCCTAAACTCCAAGCCCTAAACACACGACCGAACCCCGAAACCGCCAAAACCCCTAAACCCTAAACCCCACAAAACCCTTAAACTCTAAACCCTAAACCCCACAAAACCCTCAAACCCTAAACCCGCCAAACCCTAAACCCGCCAAACCCTAAACCTTGAACCCTTTTTGTAAACCTGGGCACCTACACAGTACTGTTTGGATGCCTGCGGGGGCTACCAGCTGCGACGATACCGCAAAAAATGGTTTACGCCCTGGGGTTAGCGGCTTAGGGTTTAGGGGTAAGGTCTTAGGGTCTGCGGGTGAGGGTGTATGGCTTCAGTTTACGGTTTAGGGTGGTGGGCTTTGGCTTTCGGGCTTCGGGTTTAGGTTTCGGGCTCTCGGTCTTGCGGGCTAGGATTGCTGTGACCCGCAGAGTTTCCCCGGCACACCCAGAATCATCAATGCCCCTTTACTGGTATTTCCCTGGCGCGGTCTAGGGTTTAGGGTTTAGGGCTTAGGGTTTTTCGGGTAGGGAGTCCGGAAGTTTTAAGAAAACAGGATTGAGCTGAGCCCAAACCATAGCCCTGACAGCAAGCGCTTTCAATTCCAACCCGTACAGCCGCACCTTCCAGAAAAGAATACTACTGAATAAGTTCTCTGGATTTGTCAAAATATTATGCCGCAGGGGTGTTTGATAACCCCTACGGCTTACTAATCGAAAAAAAGCTACAAGTAGCTCGAAAGCAGAAACCAAAACCTGATGACTGGCATGATCCGGGCTGCACCCTAAACCCCAAACCCTAAGCCCACTGGCTTGACTGTAAACCCTCGGGGAGCCACGGCGAAGCAAGCCCGGTATTCGGTCAGCTAGGCGCCGCGCGGTTGAAAAGAAGTCTTGTCTCGTTAACTTGACTCAGCTTCCGGGGCCCTTCCGACAGGAAGAAGCCAAAAACATAACACCAAAGCCCAAGAACCTAAGAAGCCGAAACCCTAAAGCCTGAACCCGAAGCCCGAAATCTGAAGGAAACACGGTTTAGGGTTTAGGGCCTAGGGCCCAAAAACCCGAAGCCCTAAATCGTAACAAATGACCCATCAAAACCCCATCCCTCGACGCCACAGGCACTGATATAAACTTATGTGATACTCCCTGGACTGGGGACGTCTGGTGTACTCTTGCTGGTATCGGTATTCAGCTATTCTGGGTGTTGTGCTTAAGGCTAAAGCTATCAATGCCAATTAAAGCCATCGCCAGACCCTTCTTTCCTGCAGTAGCAATGCAGCACCGCTCTCGTCGTGGTCGTCGTTGTCACAGCCGCAGAAGCCCACGAGTGTTGCCGGCGGGGGTGGCAAAAAGGGCGTTGTAGCCGTAGCATAGCACAGGTCCAGTCACAGTGCTGACGCGGTTGATGTTGTTGTTGTTGTTGTGGTGGTGGTGGTGGTGGTGGTGGCGGTTGTGGTGGTGGTGCTTGTTGTTGTTGCTGCAACTGTTGTTGTTGTTGTTGTTGTTGTTGTTGTTATTGCTCGTGTACT